TTGTTGTTGCTGCTGCTGTTGTTGGTGTTGCTGTCGTTGCTGCTGCTGTTATTGTTGCTATTGTTAATGCTGCTTTCCTTGCTGTTGTTGTTGTTGCTGCTGCTGTTGTTAGTGTAGTTGTCGTTGCTGCTGCTGTTATTGTTGCTATTAATGCTGCTTTCCTTGCTGTTGTTGTTGTTGCTGCTGCTGTTGTTGGTGTTGTTGTCGTTGCTGCTGCTGTTATTGTTGCTATTGTTAATGCTGCTTTCCTTGCTGTTGTTGTTGTTGCTGCTGCTGCTGCTGCTGCTGCTGCTATCGTTGCTGTTGCTCAGAAGTTAGACTCCTTGAATGTGACGTCAAAGCAGCTCAATTTAGAGGACAAAACAAAAAAATTCAGTCTCATGAGAATTGGAGACCTATCGTTATGTCCTCCAAATTAAGCTGCATTTTGACGTGCTGCAAGAGAGGGATCTATTTAGCACTTGAAACCCACGTACAAAGATAGTCAAGTATTAGGGTTCTAATCGTTAGTATGGCCTCAGAATGGATGTCTGCTTTGATGATCCACAACTGTCTTCCTTATCAGTTTCTTATTCTTTTTTTCACAGGAATATTCAGTGCAGCTAGAAGCTGTTCCCGTTTGCCATTTGGTGAGTTTGTCTGTTGTTGTTTAACATCTTCAAGGGCGGATCCAGGGTTTTTTGAAGGGGGSGTCTCAGGGGTAAATTTTTGTGGGCAAAGGAATCCCAGTCGCATTTTTACCACAGGAAGCCCATTTGACCTCAGGAATGACAGGGGGGTCGCGACCCCCCCGACCCTCCCCCTGGATCCGCCCTTGATCTTCTTACCGGTACCCTGTATTTACGATCTTTATTTATCCTTGATAAAAACTTATCAATGAAAATGAATGTAAAACCCATGCAAAATAGTCCTTGATTACTGCAAGTTTTCATAGTGTCTTTTTTGGCAAGTCATTTTCTTCTCGTAATAGTATATATCCCGAAATGTATCATGAGAAACTCTACTTCCCACTGACTATGCCTGGGTCTAGTAAATGCATTCTTTCGTGCCATGAAATCATTCAGAATAAAAGAAGTTACAGCTCAACACGTTATAGCACTTCTAACATTAAACCTTTTCTTTAACAGCAAACTGAATGTCTGTGCAAAACATCCGTATCTCTTCTGCGTGTTCCTTATATTTTCCCAAAATACTTTTTCCAAAGTCGACAACACACAGTTATCAAGGTAAGAAATTACAGCTTTCCACTTGCTGGGCATCTGTGCATCCAGGAAGAAACTTGCTACCATGAAATGTTATTATTACAGTATTTCTTGTATTCATGTTCATGTGTCTTCTCATTTGCGCAACCGTTAAAGAACGAAATGATACTCAAGGGAATAACATGTGCTTTGAAATAGGAAATGCCAGGGGTAGAGGATAACCTTGAATGCTGTCCCAAACTTTCTTATGATTCGTATTACCCCCCCCCCCCTGTTTTCTAACTGTTGCTTTTTTTGTTGCAGTTGGCGTTATCTCCAACACCACGTTCTCCCACGGAACCTATCTTTGTTGCCATGGAGACGCAGTTTGTTCTGAAAGTTGAGGGTGTCATTGAACACGCTGGTATTAAACCAGGCCTCTATCGATCAATCAATGCCGTGAGATTGAATGTTACCTGGAAACAAGAAGAGCGAAAACAAAACCAAGGATCCCAGGACCTGAAGGTAACAGGTTTTTGATTATTGCTTCATTGGCTGATTCGCTGCCATCACTGATGACCACACACACTTGTTATAAAGAACAAGTGTGGCTTGGTTAGTTAGTGTGCTGCCTGCTAAGCAAGAGGTCCATAGTTTGATCCTCAGTGACCTCACACACTTGTTTTAAGGAGCTTGTTAACTAGTGCGCTGTGTGGCAGACCTCTTCAAAAGAGAGGGAAGTTGCAAAACCTTCCATTCTCGCCATGTACATGGACTTTGCATGTAATCATGTCTGACGTAGGAATAACGTATCATGACGTCATATCCTCTTTACATTTCAGGGCCCACGTGATTCCATTACAAGTCTAGAGCAGACCGTTACACCTCATCATGACTATTTTAGTGCTCAGTTCCTTCTCTCCTTCATTACACCAGCTTCTTACGTTRTCATGGTGAATACGAGTCTGATTGACGACACAGGTGCATACTGGGATACTGGTCCCCAGAAGACTTTGTTTGTGAAGGCCAGTGAAGCACCCAACAGAATGAGAGCAGGTTCTTCGAGAAACTAGATAGGTTATTTTATAATAGACTGCTATCAGGCTATTTGGGATATAACGGACAAAAAGAAAAAAAGCAACGGAGAAAGGGAAGAAAAGACGAGGAAAGAAACAAAAGGRAAAAAAAATTTCTAGTCAAATACGAAAAAAGGAAGAGAAAAGAATTGTAGCGAAAAATAGAATAGAATAAAAATATTCATGTGAAAAAATAACTTGTGTCAAAAAATTGTTACTGTGATTCTTATCTTCACGACATCACTCAATAGTGCAGCATACATAACCGAATCCAAAACTCGGCATTTTTTTCGTAAACTAAGAAATTCAATCGGTTCAACTTTAGATGAATTAATGTGAGAATATTTTGTCGTTTAGAATAAGAAAATAAACAATTTTACCACCTAGTAGGTAATTTCAGCCAAAAACGTCTGTCTAGAATTACGAAATGCTTCTTAAAGAAACAGGTGCTTGGATTAGGTGACGCAAGCTTTTTGTTTGGCTCTGTTTTGACGACGGTTTACGGTGTTACAAAAAAAAAATTAAAAAAATCGCGTGACATACTTGAGTGTCGAGTTTTCTCAATGAAAATATAATGAACTCATTAGATATATTCAATTAGTTTAATTTAACTATTGAARCCAGCATTTTCACAAAGGTGTTGTAGAATCCTCGAGGCAAAACGACGGAAAGAAGTCGGCATAGTACAAGAAGATTGTGGCTACGCTATTCTAAATGTTCTTCAAATCTGTTCATTTTGGTCTGGTTTTGGCTGAAGTATGACTCGGTACTGCAGCTAAACATGACATTGTACAATTTATCTGACAATTTATCTGATGTTAAGAGAAACTTGACCAGGGGAAACTATCTAGTATCTTAATACAATATCAAAAAATAAACAAATAGTTTTAAGAAGCCAAAGCTTGCGTGTGTTCACACAACATTGATTATGGTATCGTGTGGAAACCGTTTCCCAAAATAACCAATTGTCGTTAATACCAGTGACCACCACACCCCCGTGTACCAGCACGTTTGCAGTCCAGTAATACCAGACACAAGTCAGTACTAGACACTATTCCATGGAGTGTAATCGTGTGCACTGATGTTTGCCTTTTTTGGGGTAAGCAAAATGAGTAATCAGACATTTGGTTTTTAACTTAGTTGAAAAATATGTTTTTGTGTAAATGGGTTCACCTTGAAAAATTTATACAAAAATTATATTTTTCGTCGTTTGCGTAGCATTTTATGTTTCGTGCTTTTAAAGCGTAAGGGGTTTTATTATACACGCAAGTTTGAACAAGAATTTCGTGTTTTGATCTGAAGTGTACAACACGTAGTAACCTATTTAATACACTTCAAATCACGTTCATCTGTTAATCTCAAACTCGTCACGAAATGACTTTTCCGTCACGATAGAATAAAGTCAGTATTTCTTCTCTCACGGCGTCTCTTTTTGCAGACCATAAACTGATAATTGCCCATCTTCCATTTAATCCCCACTTCAGAGGCTTTCATTTAATTTTCATTCGTCGTTTTTTTCCCCTCTCTCAGTGCGTGCGGACTTGCTGTTACGTGATTGAGGGCATTCATGCTCCACTTGCGCAGGATTTAATCTCTTGTTCTCATTGGTCCAACAGACGTCAATCAAACTGTAACCATAGTAATGACTGATATAAGGTCTGTCGCCGAGCACATAAACTTTAGTCTTTGTCAACTTTGAGTCGGTGTGTGTTGACTTCCATATTTTTCGCTCAAGCGCRAAAACCTAAAAATATCTCTATAATCACCTGGAAATCAAAGGAAAGGCTTGAAGGACGTATATTCATCGTTCACAAAAAGCATTTGTTCAAGTTGTTTGGATCTTGAGCACTTTGAGCAGAAACATTAATATCGCCTTTAAACAATAATATTACACGAGGGGGACTTGCTTGCGTTACAGAGGTCGGACTTTCATTGTTGCACAACTGTTTTTTATTCACGATTTTCGAAAAAAGACCCAGGATTTGAGAGAATATGTGCTTCGAGGAGAAAACCGATAAAGTCAAGGAACAGTTCGTCACTCTTGCGATGGAAAAGCGTGTCAGGAACAAGCGAAAACGCGATCCTGATATGTATGTGGATGTACTATTATCATGTACTGTCAAAAGACTGAAATGTGAGATGTTCAATAAAGATTACAAGCGTAAGCCTTGGAAAGAGCGCGAAAATTCTACCTTTTGGGAGGAGAAAGTTAAGGAAGATTTGCCTGAACCAGTCAAGGAAGATATATCTTCAAAAGATGAGGTGGAAATGGCTGTAGAATGCTTACAATCTGTGTTATTAGAGACACTTGATAAGGAAAAGTCGTATTCAGTTGGAAATGCCAACGATGCAGAAAACAGAATCGAAAGCTCACGAAATAACCAATGTACTGTTGATTCGAGTTTTATCGAAGAGACAAAAATTTATCCTGATCAAAAAATACCTCAGGAATCCRCGGCATATTCAAGATGTGAGGATCTAGATTTCGATACATTGATGCAAAGCCTACTCGATATCTGTGAGCCATTGACTTGCAATTTAGATGAACTAATGAAAGAATACAGCATTGATCCGAATAGTTCTGGACCTTTCGATTTATTAAGCTCAAGCGATCCGTTTTTACCTGGAATGTTTGAGGTTATGTGCTCCTAAAAGGAGCTCAGAGGGTGAATTTAATATCGTATTTAAATGTAAAACTTTGTGATTAYACATGCTATTGCCATGTCACAACTGAACATATAAATGGCTTTCCCTTCCGCAAGGAAATTTCCAGGAAAAACGATATAAACTTACACGATACTATTAGTTTCTAGAATAACAATAAATTTGATAAAAATAATAAAAATGATATATTTATTAGAGAATACGCTGGCCTAGAAATGTTCTCGAATCTCTGCAACCTCTCCAGAAATTTCTAGATCTGGGTGACTCATGATTATTCAATCGCCTTCCTCTGTAATTTTTTCTACTTAAAATATCATTTATAAATTTTGTTATAAAACCAGTACAAAAATGCTAAAAATACGAAGTAGGCTCTATTTATTCCAAAGCAAATTGGATTAGTTTAAGAATAAAATGTAAAATGTCATGTATTTAAGAATGAAGACATTAAAATTAATGCAAGTGCGTCGTGGTTGTGACCCGATTTATTTAAAGTCTATTTTGGTTTAGAAAACTCCGGGAATCTAAGCTACCTGCTCTTGATACTAGGTATAAAACGAAGTCGCTAGAAGCTTGCTTTAATTGTGAAGTAAATTAATGGCTTGAGATATTAGATTTTGACCAATATCTTGGCATTTTTATGAACAGCTTTATTATTAGTACCTGCTGGTTTGAAGTACGTGGAGGAAAAATTCAACAGGTCTAATAGTAGATTTTTGCACATTTTTCTGGTGTCATGCCAGGGTTGTTTGATTTGCTTGCATCGAATTTAGCTACAAAATAATCGAATTTTTGGCTTAAAATTCTGACTACCAAGAATTTTCWGGTCAAGACATGCACTTGCTGTTAGGAGCAAATGGTTCTCTTGCTTTGGATTCTTTGAAATCTCTGTTTAAGATATTCAAATGTTTGAGCTTTACTTGACCAAACTTCTCGATACCAATGAAGATGTCTAGCTGGGATAGTACTTATTGAATTATTCAGTTACCCTTCCTTACCCTATTTCAATTTAGCAGTTTTATTAATGAATATATATAAAGGAATGCATATGCACTTACCTTTTTCCTTTTTCCTGAAGCATCATCATTTGAGAGCTGCATCCAAGGGGATAGAAAAATGAAAGGAAAATGATTGGAAAAAAAAAAAGGAAAAAAGAACAAAAGGAAAACAAGCAAACTAAAGTTAAAAAAAAAAGAAAAGAAAAGAAAAGGAATGAAAAGGAAAACCCAAAAATTCTGTATTTGTACCTAACAACCCCTTAAAGGCAGGAGATGCCGGAGAAAGAACTAAATCTACTCATGTGATGCTTATTTGTATACATTTTTAATCCGAAGGAATCCAAAAATGAAAAAACAATAGTTTTGATATCTTTATTATTTTTATCTTGCAAACAAACCTAAACAAAATAACAACTGTTTGTCTTCAGTGGTACAGTTGCCTTGAACAAAATGCTGTCACTCAAACCAGAGGGTTTAAAAAAGTGTCAATTATATTATATACAGTATATATGCTAAAGTAGTGATATACATCATTACAATTATTAGTTATAACTGCATAGTAGATCACAGATTTAAGGTAGCAGTAACCCTAATATAGTTGCCTGGCAACTACCAAAGGATCTGAGACATCAACCATCTTAAATCATTGGATGTCTATGGGGCAAACCTTGAAAATCTATAAAACAGAGAGGCAGGGTTTCGTTTTCAAATGATTTGAAGTCTTGGTGTTAATTGCTTTTTTTATGTCTCTCTTTGAAAAATTTAAAGTCATGTACACCTATTTCAGAAATCGTTGTTGCACCAAAAACCTCAATCAACAAGCCAAGACCGCAGAGATCGCCGGTAATGTTAGCTGTAATTAGTTTATTCATGGTGCATTTTCATTYATTGACTTCACAAATTGCTCCAAGCAAGGCTGCTTGAGATGATAATTAGTGGAGAGCTATAGCCACTTGCATGAACCATGAATAAATCAATTTAAAGTACCGACGTTCTCTGGAGTCTTGGCTTGTTACTTGAGGCTCTTGGTGTGACAACGATCTTCGAAATATATCTATATGAAGACACCATGACRGCTGTGTAGTCTAYACATTTTCCAGTAGTTGCCCTCTCGGCATTCCATAATGTCTTGAGTAAAACAATAGGATTCAAGATGGCCACCATATTGATAAAAAGCCTATTAAAAAAACGAAAACCAGACAAGTTCTAATGTCCAAAGTCCAAGTATTCTGATAACTGCATAATGAAGAAAAATGCCTATGATCTAGAAGTTTTCATCGATAAAGATACCTTTGATTACRCAGTAAAAAAATTGTTAAAGTATTGTCTGTTTTTCATGTTCTAGATTCCAGTTTCTCTGAAAATATCCTCAACCAATATTAGTATTATACATTTGTACAAGACACAAGACCACATCATTTTATTTTATCTTGAATCAAAAACACTACACTCTTCAATCTTCTTACTGACATATCACATCTTTGGTCTTATAAAATATAAAATCTCACTATTATATTATATCATTTTATAACTGAAGTTGACTGTTATGTTTTAGCTTATAAGCTTGGGGTGATGAAAGTTCTTAAAAGTTGGAACAATTTTTGTATGAGGGGATGGAGAAAAAACTGAATTTACCGAGGGGGAGGGGTATAATGGCTGTTAATCCATTCTCAACATAATATAGACTAACTTTCATGTACAATAGCTGAAAGTATCCATACAAAAAATARAAATAACTGTTATTGTACTAATCATACAGCTTCTCATTAATCCCATRTTTGTAACTGTCCAATTATTTTCTTAATTGGACAGGTCTTGTCGATATGGGATTAATTAGGCAGCTATATAATTAATAGGTAATGGGATTTCATGCTCCCCAATCAAGAAATAATTAGACTCGAAAAATCCCTCTGACTGCCAAATTGGACTCAGCCTATGGCCTCATCCAATTTTGTCAGTCCTCAGAATTTTACTCGTCCAATTATTTCTTAATTGGACAGCATGGAGTCCTATTACATATACTAATAGAATCATTAGTGTTGTATGAAAAAAATAATAAAAAATATTTAATTACAAAATAACGCCAAGAGTTGGGTTGACAGTAGCTTAAACTACAGCTGACGTTTGTTATTAGCTTACGAAACTAGCTTACTAGTAAGCACTGCTATGAGGGTGGTTCATAATTTATTGGAGGGAGTTTGGATGAGAAAATAGGTGTCAATTTTTGCAGGGTTTACACTACAGAAATAAGTTATCCATACGAGGACGCTCTGTTTTGATATCRTAAATAGAAATTTTCAAAATCATTGGTGGTACCAAATTATGGTGCGAAGGTGTGTAAATGGAAAAATAGTCTTGGTTTCTCACCCATAAACATTGTGGTTCCTTAGGATACTCTGTTTCATAGTGRCGAGAGTTAAGCTTTGTTACATATCTTCCTATAGGCCACTGAAATCATAAGCTAACCGTAGCACTAGGGTCACCCTATTTTTAAAAAAATAAAGGCTGTAAGCTACAGAAGAATATTTTGCCCTCTTCATAAACAAATGGAGGTCCACAGAAAAGAGTTGGGTAGGAAATGAAAAGATAAAAATTGAACAACAAAGGGAAATTTGGATGCATAAAGAATGCAAAATACTACAGTCAATAGCCCAGTAATCATCTCTTGATAAAATCTACACCTGTTACAAGTACATTTTGTATGAGAATGGATAAATTCTTAGGCGAGATTTTGCATGAATTGGTATAAAGAAAATCTTGTAATCTTAGCATATGTACACATCTGTTAACATAAATGTAAACAGACTGCTTAACTCCTAATAATAACTTAATAACTATCCACTAACAGTACCTATGCGGTTTGACTCTAAAATCAATGTTCGCCAAACTCCATGTTTGGAACAGCCTGAATAAATACTTTGAATTATACAAGTGCTGACAGTTACAGTCAGTTTCACATCACTATACACCTTCAGGTTCCAAACTGTGTTTGAAAATTCCCAAGTTGGCTACCAGCTTCGGAGGTTTGAAACGAAGTTTGTTATGAAACTCTGAACTTCCCCCCGAAGTTCAGAACTTGGTTGAAAGGCAGTATTTCTCTTGAAATCCAACCGACTTTTCCAAGCATTTCATTTCTTGATGTCATATAATTCTCCAGTAATACGAGGCCATGTTTCTTCGGGCGGCGTTTGTCGACCTGGTATTAATCCTGCATATCTTCAGGRATATCATGAGGATTGATGATGCCTGGTACAGTCATTTGTACTTTTCGTTTTTCTTCTTCTGCTGATTTCAGTTGTACTTCTCGTTCTTCTAGGAATAAATCATGAGTATCTTCTGATCGGAATTCCTACATTGCAAACACAAAAGTATTAAATAATAGGATTCAAGGAAAATAATAAAATGAAGGTTGTCTCTGACTTAAATTTTTTAAGATACTGGACGTTTTGGCTTTGCAACTAAAGCCTTTATCAGCAAGATCGTTTATGCATAATGTTGTGCAAAACCTAGATTTATTATCAGTCAAAATGTGTTTTTAATTGATTCAATAAATGATTCAATGAGCTAGAGTAAAACTTTTTTTGTGGTAAGAACAATAGTAGTATAAAGAAAATGTTTACAAACAACATAACTTACTTTAATTTGAACCATGAAGTCTCGCAAGTGTTCTTTGAAGGCAGGAATATCCTGATCAAGTTGAAATAATCCTTTTACTGTAATCTGGATCTGTTCACTGTTGTAAAATAATAATAATTGTCAGGTATAGGACAGTAGTGACCTTTAGATCAGATGACAAGTACGAGATGGAGTAAGAGTTACTACAGTCTACAAAAAAATAGCGCCTCTCTTTAAAAGTTAAAAACTCGTACTCGTATTTGTTCTCATACTTGTTGTCTGAAAGTCCGTATTTGCACTAACAGTGCATCTGACTCTACCCCCCCTGAAACAAGCTAGAGTTGTGTCAAAATCTTAAAAAAATCTACAAAGCTTTTCGGTGTTGTATCACAGCGTGGGACAATCACAACAGAACTAGCCTCCAAACTAAGTGAAAGCCCAAAGATCGAATTAGAATTTAGAAGTTGATTTTTGAGGAGGRAGGAAAACCGGAGAACCCAGAGAAAAACCCTCRAAGCACAGGAGAGAACAAACAAACAACTCTACTCACATATGACATCGAGATCGCCAGGACTCGAACTCAGGCCGCATTGGTTAGAGGTGGCGCATTAGCAGCGCACGCCACCGGTGCTTCCCAAAATGAACATATCTCCAGAAATGGAAGGGGGTAGGGTCAGAGTTACAGGTCTTTTTCTAAATATTTTTCCTTCAGGCTTTAGCTCCCTCCCCCCCCCCCCCCCCCCCCCAAAAAAAATTAATACTCACTCTCTTAAATGTGGGAATGCCTGTTTCAAAAGATCCATTATGTAACTTTGGATGTAGGCCTGCATGTCAGAAAAAGTACTTTTTAGCAATTAATTTGAACAAAAAAACTTGTCATTGATAATCACCACTGCAAAGTATAGCAATGAAGCAGCTCAACAGGGTTGAACTGAAAGTATGTGAAGGACCTCTGGCAGCCGCTATACAGTCCATGTATAACCCCGGAGCACAGCTCTAACCAGTTTGAATTAATTAGGGTTGATTTGAGAGCAAGTACATTGATTCTGGGAGGAGAGGAATGAATGAATATGTTGTGTAAAAATCATTGTAAAATAAAGTAATAATTGTGYATCATACCTCATTTGAAGGGTACTGAACTTCAGAGGCGTTGAACAATGGCTCGCTGATTTTCCCAGAATCAGCTAAGCTAAACATGTGTGCTAATATCGTAGCATGCATGGTCAGACCTGCAGTGTGCGAGGTATCGGTAACCACTGACAACACATGCTGTACTATCATGATATAGTATGTCTGGTAGAAGCTTTGCGATGCAGATTCATTCTCTATGTTCTTTAATAAAGTATATAGAACCTGAAGACCTAGAAAATCGTAAACATAAGTATTACTTAAGCAATATAAAACACATGTCATATGCGTATCTGTAGTGACAGTGAGAATAATAAAGGGGCAGATTCAGGACTTATTTTTCACACTAGATGGCCAATCAGCAAGCACATATCTCTTTTGATAACTTGAATTTAAATGCCAGAATGAGTAAACACTAACTACTGTGAAATCCTGATCAACCCAGGATAATCTGTTACAAAATATCCTGTATGGATCAAATTTTCAAAATGCTAAATTTTTAAATAAACTAGACACATATCTGCGTGAACTCGGGCTTCATAGCTGAAAATCGAAAGAATTCTTCGTGAACACTGTCATCCTTCTGACGAAACCTTGAAAAATTCCGCCATTGCTCGACCATGTGCTTATGTGGCGCATACTACGCAYGCGCATAGAACTTGCGCATGCGCTTTGAAAGCAACTGTGATTTGTAACAGAACGCAAATAAAGCCCAATTTATACCTTGGGCATTTCTTTGAAAGTCCGAGTAATAAAAAAATACCTATGCATTACTCACCTGTATCGGCAACATTTCGCATGGTATGTTTAAATGCCCATATTATTGAATCCAGGACAAGCTTGAACTGTTCTGGTGGAATCTTCAGTAATGCTGAGTGCGAGTAGAGAAAACAAATCAATTTAAGTTATAGTGACAAAGAACTGTTAAAGCAATGTTCTTCAGAACCAATCGTCAAGGAATACCATATTCAAGGAGCATTATATTTAAGGTGTCCAAGCATGGTTACCTTGGAAACAATGTTGCATTACTGCTTGTAAAAGTAGGAAGAAATTTGTCCTGTGTTCAGGGAATTCTTCAAAGTCCTGCAATGTGACACAGTTAGACATAGGTTGTTTAGTACATGCATTGGTTAAATAAATGGACAGTTCGTCGCTGGGCATGAACACTGGCTAAAATAATTTTAGATTGGTCACACTTTTACTGGTTCAAATAGCTGGCAAGGCACAGATTTGATCAGACAAGTTCCAATTCTGGCTGGACATTGTCTGATGACTGTCCATTATTATTCTAAGGCAGGCTGATATTAACCAAAGTAATTAAGACTACTCTATAGATGTATGGTTAAACAACTAATAATATAATCAGCTCTTTGTAGATTTTGATCTATTTCATAAGTGAGAGGTACCTTGTTGATCATCTCTAATGTGCACTCAAACACAGCGTCAAAGATCTGTGGAACATTTTCTGTTATGTGGTTCTAGAAAAAAGACAATGGTGGAGATATATTAACTCACTGTATTTCATAATAACAAACTTCTTGAAGATATTTAAGGAAACATGTACATCCCTGCCCCACAAAAAAAAAACACTTGACCCCCACAAAAAAAAAAAAAAAATTTGAAATAATACCATTTCAGTAAACATGTCATATTAACAAAGCGAGACTGACTCTTCTTACCTCTAACTTATTTATAAATGTTGCCATAGTGCTAAGCACTTCAGGTTCTCTAGCCCTTGGGACATTACGTTGATAGTCCCCAAGTACAGCATCCAGTAGAGGTGGTATAAAGTTATCACACACTAGTTTAGGGTCATTAGACTTGTTGACCCAGGTTGATATRAGCCGTAACACTTCGGTTTTTACTGTTCTCATAGCTCGAATAAGTGGCTGTTTCATGACTATTTCACCGTTTTGGGTGATTGCAAGAGAAATGTTTTCACTGAGACATCTATAAACRTTTAGCATATCCAGGTATATTCTACCAAGCTGGGTTACGAATGGGTGTCCAATTGATTTGCAGCCTCGCACGTTTGTTTTCAAAATGTTTCCAAGTTGTTTCACCACTTCCATGTCCTTTAGATGATCGATGTTCTGTTGAATGAAAGAATGAAAAATGAACAAAAGGAAAAGAAAATTAATTAAAGGGTAAGGAAATGAAGGAAATAAAGAAAGGAAAAGAAAGAAAATATTTCTAATCGCTATCACCCCGGGAGGTACTCTTGCCYGTTTAGGGTAGGGATGTGCCGCTGAGCCCTCTGAACCCTGACCCTGTTCCAGAGTAAAATCGATGAAATTCATACCCTGTTCCAGAGAAAGATCGCTGAAAACCATACCCTGTACTGGTATTGCGAAAATAGATGCCCTGTTCCAGAGAAGAGGGAGCGTGATTTCATATACCCTGTTCCAGAGCGAGCACGATTTTATATACCCTGTTCCAGAGTAGAATCCCTGACTATAGGGGAGTACCCCCCGGGACTGTCACTAATAATTAACATTCTGGAGGGATGTGAAGAGGTCAAAAAAGAACAAAGAACAAGAGGTGAATTCATGGGTAGAGAAATGAAGGAGATAAAGAAGGGAAAAGAAAGAAAATATTTTTTATCACTCTCACTTATGATTAACATTGAGGAGGGATGTGAAGAGAAGAGGTAGAAAAAGAATAAAAAATTAACAAAAGGGTAGGAAAATGAATGAAAGGGTAGAGAAACAAAGGAGATAAAAAAAGGGAAAGAAAGAAAATATCACTATCACTAACAAGCAGCATTGTGGAAGGATGTAAAATGGTTTTGAGTAGGCTTACTCACCCTTGTTGCTTCTCTTATAAYATTGTCCCAAGCCTGGTTGGGTAATGACATGTATTTTTCAATCAATCTTTCCATAACCACAGGATCCTGGAATGATAAATACATCACCGTTTCACAGAACCATTAGACAGTCAGTGTTAGGCATGCAGTAATAGAGAGGGCTGYAAGTTAGATAACTCACTGGGCTAATACGTCACCCTCTTTAAATAACATTAATTTACTCTATTGTACTTACAGTCTGTGCACTTATCATGTATCCAACAGCTTCATAAAATGTATGGACCTGAACAAATAGGCAAAAGAGTATTCCTTAGATTATATTTCTGCATACAAGATYTACTTATTCATAGAATAATGGTACTTTTTATGAGCTTTCTTTATCATTTACCTGCAGTGGCTGTAGATCACAGATGATTGATTGTGTACTGTTCAGGATTTCCTCAATGAAAGGCATCACCTCACCCACTTGAACCTGAACACGATAACACCTCAACATTAAACAAAGCAAGAACTAAAACTGATACAAGATTTTTTTTCCTGTATAATTATTTCCACATAATAATAATCTTATTCGCCCTCGCCCCACAAAGAATGAGGGGAAAAACCTGGCTTGAGATCAAAGGGAGTGACCTCCAAAACACTCTACAAACATGTGATGCTGAGTCCAGGAATTGAACCAGAGAAGGCATGATGCGGCATAGACTTCACTTAAGAATAAGCAAGGACTAACCTGGACAAAATGTCTTTTACATTTCTGAGCAATTTTGATAAAAGTATCACATGCCATGTCTTGTACACCATCATGGGTTTCTGTGACAACAAGGAGTTAAAATTAAGGTGGCTAGTCATACATAAGAACCATTAATGAACATAAATGTGTTCTGATTAGTTAATTTTCTTATTGTTTCATGTGTTTACTTACCATGCATGAATTCAAAAAGCTTGTTTACAACAGTCTTCAAAAATTTCCAGTGGGCTCTGCAAGATAAACATCGAGCTAAAGATTAAAGACATTGCAAGTTTCAAGACTGAATAAATCAGGTGTCCTTCCGTTACCTTAAAAACCTTGGATATTGCCCAACTATGTACATGATGTTTGAAGCAATGATGGCTTTGTTGTCTTTCCCTCTCTTGATTTCACACAGGCCAAGCAAATCCTAAAGGGAAAAAAACAATGCCATATATATTCTGGACCACGGACAGTCTTCAAAAGACAAGTGAGTTGTTACTGTACCTTGATAACAGTCACAAGGAATCTCTTCTCATCTTCTTCATGCATCGCACCACTGATTGATCCAATGGCCCAACAAAGCTAAAGAGACAAACAACACATCATAATCATGAGAATCTATACCACAGTACATTGACACTAGAGAAAAACGTTTGTGCATTGCTGCATTTCAGCACATTTTCTAAGGATTTTGAAGAGTTTGAGTGAGAAAATATATGTTTGTTTTCTCCAAGTATACAAAAAAACCCAACATTTTTCTTTCATTTTGTGTCCTTACAGTGTTGAGGTTCTTCCAGGACCATTCTGTTCCATTTACTTGGTTCTGTAACTTCTCTGTCATGATTCTCTCTGTGTCTTGATAGTCCAAATGTGTCAAGTACACTAAAGAATGCAATGACAGGATACTCAAGTTAATGGCTTTTAATGCATAAAATAGGTACATATCAATAGATGTCATTTCCAGTAATGCGAAGAAAAAACTTTTTCCCGGTCGAAACTCTTACAAGCTTGTCAGAGCAGTCTGTGCCAACATCCTCCCTTAGCATTCAGGCTTAGGGAAAACTCCTCAGCCTATTGGATTTGGTCTTAACTTGGCTAAAATTTCATTGAGGCAAAACTGAGCCTATTGGGGTTAAAGGTGCTTGCCCTAAGTCATTCAGTGTGCAAATAACAATACAAAACAAAGACTGCTAATACTAAAGTTATTCAGTATAAAGTTATTTTTTCTTATTATTTATAAATCTATTTTATTTATTTAATTTTTATTGTTATTCATTAGTAGAGTATTTATAATTATTATTTGGAGATATTAGCATGTATACACCTATTTCAAAAAAGGTTGTCATTGCCAAAGGCGATAAGCAATAAGCATGGAAATGGTTTCGTTGAATACAAAGAATATTGAATCAGTCTCAACACTAAGGTCCATGTTCTTGATGAGAATAAGAAGCAGAAACAAGCTATTCCAGCTATTTTTGGATTTTGAAATGACCTATCTCCTATTGCTTTTCGCCTATTGCCTATCGCCTTTATTTGAAATAGGTATATTCTTTCGTGAATTCGATTTTCAAATAAAGTTTATTGTATAGTATTGTATTGATCTCTTACTAACCCAGTGTTTCTCTCATATTCTTGTACAAGTTGATGGCATCAGTATCTTTCATGAATTCCCTAACAACTTCTCCTTGATCGTTCTCTACTACAAGAACCTGTTATTAAAAACACATTTCAGGTAGTTATRATAGGGACTTTAAGATTTGCAAAATCAAYGACAGCGACGTCAACCGGAAGTGTGAATAACTTCTCTTTGGGGTTCTGTTCATTGGAGATTTCATTCAAAACATTGTCAGTAAAGTCAACTGGTTTACGGTCATGACGCCCCCTTGTCATGACGCCCCCAGCCATAACGCCCCCACGTATACCATCACGCCCCCAGTCTGTACTACCATGACGCCCCCAGTATAAACCATGACGCCCCTAGTCTCTATTAACTCTTATTTAATAAGAAGTTTAACAATATTTCATAGTATAAATCCAAGAACGACAAAAAATAACGAAAAGGAAAAAAGTTGACGACAAAATTTCGTAAGGCCGATAAATGATTCGTAATTCCAGTTAGTACGCCCTAATTGCCRTAAGAACGCTTACGCATAAGTTCTGAAACCTATGTCCAAAAAGTTTGACACTGAAAATATACCACAAAAGAAAGAGAGTGCTGGTGAATAAAGTAAGAAAAGCATTGCAAAAGAATTAAAACCTTTGACATGACCATTAACTATGCACAAACGAACAAGTTGTTTTCGAACGAACGAGTTGTTTTCGAACAATTGAGTTGTTTTCAGCAGTTGTAGTACGCAGACTTGTAATCTAATAGTTCTTTGGCGTAGGAAGTTTTTGACTTATTCGTATTTTTGAAACATGTGTGTTTTTGCTAAATATTTTGGTAAATCAGCAAAGATTTCTTACGAAATTCGGGTAGTTTGCCGTTTTCACTTTACAAGTCTTTTCACTGCTGGGTATTTGTCGTCACGGCAACTAGTTCGCGTCTAAAGTTTTTGACTCATCCGTAACGTTTCTTCTACTTTAATAGCCTCCTTATTCATATAAACTTTCTTTAGGAGAAACATGTGTGTTTTTAATAACTATTTCGGAAAGCAAGCAAAGATTGCTAACATAAATCGGGTAGTTTGCCATATTCAAGTCGTTACACTGTTGTTGTCACACAACTCCTCCGCGTTTGAAGACTTCGCTTGGTGACGCGAAACACAAACCGCGTCTCAAAAACATTTCATTACTGATGAATTTCAGAGTTCATATTAAAATGATATTCTAGAGCTACAAAATGGAAAATAAATCAAAAGAGCATACCGAATTATCGTAGTTACATGTAACTATGATATAACTCTGGATATTACTGTAATCTAAATACAAATGATACGTTGACGTGATGCATCGCGTTTGTGACACACCCRGGAATACAGCGAGGTATCACTTTGGATTCCTCGACTCACTGTCTAATTTACTTCCGAGAAATTGAGTTTATTCAAATTTCTGTTCGTAATTTTAAAACCTATTCTGTAAACAGATGCCTTGAAGAAATATTTTGTCTTTACCGGCGATTGCTGAAATCACTTGAAAAAGCTATCGAAATAGCCAAACACAAAGGTGCGAGTCTCAAAAACAATCCTTACAAAAAAGTTTTAATGTTCTTTGTGAAATGATGTTCTAGAACTCCAAATGCACCGAAATGATGTTCTTTAAATATGAAGAATTTTTTATAGCTTTCTCGTGCCTATRAAGGCATTCCAAAATGCCGATCACGGGCCGTGTTGAGAGTGCTTCGTAACAACAGCGTGACTTGATCGCACGAAATAAGAGTTTTGATCGATGAACATGTCTTAGAATTATGGTTGGATTCCTAATGCATCTGAATGATAGTTCTTTAACTCCTAATTCAGCTATATCATGTTCTGGAACTAACTATTATTAAATGATAAGATTCAAGAAGTACATCGCTTAACTACAGTGATTTAGTGTTTGCCAGCTTGTAGGTATCGTTTTTAACTCGTGGATACGCGAAGCGTAGAAACGAGTTATTTAAAATCGTAATGACCATGAAACAACTCCAATAGTGTTCGATTTACATGGGTTCGTAGCGCCATATTATTATCGTAAACTTCTTATTAAATAAGAGTGAATAGAGACTAGGGGCGTCATGGTTTATGCTGGGGGCGTCATGGTAGTACAGACTGGGGGCGTCATGGTATACGTGGGGGCGTTATGGCTGGGGGCGTCATGACAAGGGGGCGTCATGACCGGTTACCAGTCAACTCATCCACTGAGAAGACAGACTTTGAAGGCGCGAAACCCCAAAGTGAAGTTATTTACACTTCTGGTAGACGTTGCTGTCCCTAATATAGATTGATTAAAAAGACTTGAAATGTGAAATGTTGGTATTATAATGAGTATCAGCTCCTACCTCTTCTGGTTTAGCCATTCTTGAAATCATAATTATTCGAACCTGTCAAGAAATACAAGATAACTTAAATTGACAAGTTAAATAACAGCCTATAATGCATTAGGACAGCTAATCGTCGCTGCAAAGTCCAGCAGTYGCGCAGCTCAACAAGGTCACACCGAAAGCATGTGAAGTCATGGCCAAACAAAAGATGATAACTCAAGACAACATACTTTAGTAAGTACAGACAAGTAGAGCTGTCGTCTGGGTGGTACTTGCTGGGATTGCACAATCAGTAATGGATTACTTGTGGATGAGAAAGGGTTCTCTCTGTATAGGTCTGAAGCTAGTGTATTCCAGTATTCAAGGCATATCTTGAAGATTTCTGTTTCTTCCACCTCTGAGATGAGGACTAGGTAGTGAAGGGCCTGGAAAATCAAAAAGAAATTTGCTTTAAAAAAATCTTTTTGAGTATACTCTCAGAACAGCACTGGCATTTTTTTWAATGTGTAAGTTCCTGAAATTATACATCTCCCCTCCCCCGAGGATTCCTACCCCAACAAATTCTGATTTTCTTCAATAAAAAATCTGCATTCTGTTCTTGCCCTTACCCTCCCCCCCCCCACAAATTCCAAATTCCTCTGTGTGTGTGTGTAAGGGGGGTAGTATGGAACTACACAACACACAAGAGAAAGACTTACCTCTAACAATGTTGTCTGCAAATCAACCTAGAATACAAACAAATATAAATATCACTGATGATAGATAAAAGTTCAAGGGCTTAGCTTATAGCATTTTAAAAAATGTTGACAATGTGCAGATGGTAGGTATTATGGGGGTTTGATAACAATAGTCTTTTTCACAGTTCCTTGCGCTATTTTGAAAGGCAGCCGTGCTTTTTCATTGAAGCGAAGAGAATGGTTAACTTGCAATGGTAGAGACCTTTTTTAAYACCTTTATCAATCAATTATTCATGTCTCTATCATTGCAAGCTCACTAGTCGTCCCACTTTGCTGCAAAGGCATTCTTACCTTCAAGATGGCACAGGTAACCRTGAAGGGAACAATTGTCAAAAATGTTTTTTTTTTCACTGACAGATTAATTAATGATTCAACTAAAATAGACTTCAAAAACCTAACCCTGCTGAGTTTAAAGAGCCAATATACTTGGCAGTAGAAATGCATAACAATATTTTGGTATGTCTAAGGAATAAATGAAACACCCCTGCCTATTATATCCAAAACAATACAAATGAGCTTAATATATTGGCTGTAAACCATATTCAAATTTCCAACTAGTATAACACAGTCTGGAATTAAATTTGGGGTGGGTAATAATGTCTAATGTAATGTGAGGGTTAACGTTTAAGAGAAGAAGGAAAGAGGCCTAACCCTGGTAACTTTGCCTTCACAGTTTTCAATAATATAGTCAGATGTCATGGTAATGACATTTAGAATCTACAAAACAAAAGTATAATGTGATCCTTACCAATTGACTAAAAAAAGAAAATAACAGTGAATGTAAAAATACTCTTTTAAACTTGAGTGGTAATGAATTAATAATTTAAGTAGCCAGCTGCCTAGTCTAATGAATAATTCTAAAAAAAATTGATAAAATGATACAAAATCTATCATTCAAAGCAAGTGTTTTTTTAAAACTTTTACTGTTTTGTTAGTTAAAAATATAAAATTCCAATCYCCCTCCCTTTACCAACACAATCTCATAACAAGGCTTTTAGGAAGCATTTACATAGAGTATAGATAGCCACACACCTTTTTCTCAACCAGGTTGCCATGTTCTTTAAGAAAGGTACATAAAAACAAACTAAGGTTTTGAATGAATTTCTGTTCATCGTCACGGCCATTAGCATACGCATCTCGTATGTTAATAGTTAAAGGTAA